ATCCCGTGCCAGCTCCATGATCCTTGCTATACTTGAGCCCATCATCACAGCCACTGTGTCAATCAATCTTGCTGAAGGTCTTCCCCTCTTTTGTTGACCCTCCACCTTACCAAGCATAATATCCTTCTCCAGGGAATGGACCCTTCTGACAACATGACCCAAGTAAGTGAGATGAAGTCTGGCCATTCTCGCTTCCAAGGAGCAGTCTGACTGCACTTCCTCCAGGACAGGTGGCGGGCTGGGAAAGTGGGGAAAAGGACAGAGGATGGCCAGGGGGACTGGGACAGAGTGAGGAGTCAGCTTCAGGGATCCAGGTGAGGAGCAGGATCCCAGGCCATGCCCCACAAACAGCAAGGCAGGAAAGTGGGGGAAAGGATAGAAAAAGGCCAGGGGGCCAGGGACAGAGCAAGGAATCAGCTGCAGGGATCCAGGGGAGGGGAGGGAACCCAGGCCATGCAAGGTGGGAAAGCAAGGGAACCCAGGCCATGCCCCAAAGTGGCAAGGCGGGAAAGCAGGGAAAGGAGAGGAAAAAGGCCAGGAGGGTCGGGACATAGTGAAGAGGCAGCAGTAGGGATCCAGGTAAGGGAAGGTTGGAGAGGTTTTGAACAGCTAAGGGAGACAAACTTGTCTGTCTGTTTGTCCTACTGCGGTGACGTGTTGCTGTGAGTCTTGAGGCTGTGCCACTGGTGTTTCAAACCCAGCAGGGTGCACATGGTGCATATGTTTTAGGAAGGCTTGCAGACTGAGACAGACTAGGAAGAAGGAAGAGGCCATCCACTTCTCAAAGAATTGGCCAGGGAAAACCTTATGAATAGCAGAGAAACACTGTCTGCATTGCAACTGGAGGTGTGAAATGGAGATTTTGTAATTCTAGTTATCCTCTTTTATTTATTTACTGGAATTCTTCTCTTGAGAAACTTCCCTTCTCTACTTTCTGGTAACCAAGTGTTACAGTTCTTATGCCATTTGCAAGACGATAGCTTCATTATTTGCTCCTGTTTACCAGATTTTAGAGCAATGAATTTATTCCCTAGCATTTTATAATGGTGAACATGAGGTTTGTGTTCCTTGAGAGTCACAGTGGACTAAATAATTAATTATATGCAATTTGTTTAAATCCATTTCAATTATTATCCATTTTAATTGTTATCCTATTCAATTATTATTATATCCCTCAAATTGTCTCTACATGGTATAAACTCACAACTGGAAACGGTCTACTAGAAACAGAGGGGTTAACCAAAGCAGATGCTTACTAAATGTGTGCTGAAAGTATATTAAGTGACTTAGTGAGGTGTATTGACAACATAATTGATTGTTTTATTACAACATTATAATACTGCACCTGTCCCTTCAGCACATTTTTCCTCCCCTGAAGGCAGGAACTATATCTTATTTAATCCTCAGTACAAGACATACTTACATACAGTGTGTTGTATGTCAAGCAGTATTTTGTGTGCTATGGGTAAAATGAAAAACAAAACATTTAAAATCCCTGCCTCAAGGAGTTTATGTTCTAGTAAGGGAGATAGAATTTATAAAAAAAAAAAAAAGAGAAATTAACATAAATCTGGTAATGTATTAGTCTGATTGAAATAGTGTTCAGAATACTACTTGTGTCACTTGTTCAAAGTTTTTAATCCTACAGGGACTGAGGTTCACTATGTATAAATTGGGGAAGGTTATTTGTCCTCCCTCAATGTTTTGTTCTGAGAATCTAATATCCACTGCATACCTGGTCCAAGCTCCTTGTTTGAAGCTTCAATAGGATGCAGAGATTAGTCTGACCTGAAACATGTTCTAGGTCAGAGTGGTTCTCTACCTTTATTGCACATTTCAATAAGGTGTAGGGATGGTTTGCAGTATCTAAAGCATCTTTCAGGCCATGGTGATTTTCTTCTTTGTTGCACACTTCAACAGATTGTAGGGATGGGTCTGGAGTATTTAAAAGCATCTTCTAGGTAAGGGTGGTTATCTACCCTGACTGCACATCATGTGTGCTATTCAATTTCTCTGACCTACTGCCAGAGACTATTTTCAGATCCCAGAGATCAGAATCTGTTCTGCTGTGCATGGGGTCACGATGAGTTGGAAACGACTCGACGACACCTAACAACAACAACAACAACAGAGATCAGCAATTAAAGGCATGGTCCAAACCCAAGCTCTTATCCAATGCTTTTGTATTATAGTTGGCATAAAGTGCATAATGAGCAGAGACCCTACTTCTCAGAGCCACGTGAGCCAGGAGGATAGTGGAATCCACCAAGATGGCACACATGTTAGTAGAAATCACATTTGTTCATATTTTTGGTAGAGAAAGGTTAAAAAAAAACTCTAGAGAAAAATATGGTAAACTGGGACTTGCCAGGAGCCGTGAGCTCATAGGAGCAAGGAAAGGAATGCCATAGTATTCTGGTCTATGGCTTTGACTTTTGTTTTATGCATTTGGCATGTGTTCTGTATCACCTCATGTTGTTGTCTTCAGTGGCTATTCAGTTGGCCTTAGCTCATGGCGACCCCATGCACAAAGGCTAATGTTGTTCCAGCCTGTCTCACCCTCATAATTTGTTGGGGATCAGGCTGTTGTAATCCACTGCATTTTCAATGACTGATTTTTGGAAGTAGATTGCCAGGCCTGTCTTTCTTATCATTCTTAGCCAAGAAGCTCTGCTGAAACCTGTTTGGCATCACAACAACATATGAGCCATCACTTACAGATGAGAGTTGACTGCTCATGAGGTTCCCAGAAACCAAGTTCTCCCTCATGGAAAGCAAGAATTCTACCACTGCATACCTTATAGCTGATTCTATTCAACACACCAAATTTAAAAAAAAATGGGCAAAGAACTTAAATAGACACTTCACCAAAGATGACATTTAAATGGCCACCAAACACAAGAAAAGATGCTCAATGCCATTAGCCATCAGAGGGCTGCCAAACAAAATCACAATGGAATGCCATTTCACACCCATTAGGATGGTTAAGGAAGCCCTGGTGGTGCAGCTGTGAAAGCTCTATTTTGCTCGCTTGCTTTTACATGAATTACCTTATGTGAACACAACTGCCTAAGCTTTGACAGGTTCTTCCAGATACTTTATTTATTTATTTATTTGGTAAGATGATCCTAGACTCAAAGAATGTCCAGAAAAGGCTCCAGCACATGTGTGGAGTATTGTTCAAGGATCTCTGTGTGTTTCCCTCAGTTATTCCTATTCATTGTGAACAAGTGTGGCCTTCTCTTTATGTCACAGTAGATAATGTCATAACCTGAGACAAAAAAGAATGAAGCAATCTGACATTTAATGGTTTTGGGACTGCACAAAGCTAGTAAAATAGTGGCAACCCAGTCTGAAAACATCAAGGTTCAAGTCTGTTAAATACAGAGCATTTTTTTCTTACCCCTAAAACTTGGAAAATATTCTTCTCAAGTTACAGTTAAGTTACTTATTTCTGTAATATTTTTCCTTGTTGGATTTATTTTATTAGATCTCTAATTCTATGACTTAATCTGTTGTTGTTATGTGCCATCGAGTCGGACCCGACTCATAGCAACCCCTCCTTGGGTTTCCAAAGCAGTATCACTATGGAAGTAGATTGCCCAATCTTCCACTTTCAAGGAGTGGCTGGTGGGTTTGAACCACCAGCCTTTTGGTTAGCAGTCAAGTGCCTTAGGCACTATGCTACCAGAGCTCCCATGACTTAATCTAGTACCAGCAAATTATAGAATCCCAGTTTTTTTCCCATTTCAGTTTGATCTAAATTATGATAATTTTAAAACTAGCTCATCTAGGCTTTAGCTCAAATGTTACATATTCTTTCTGAGAGGGAGATTCTGCTAATTAGGCATTGTCCATGTCAGCGAGTATTAATTAGGCTGAAACAGCTTGGTGTTTTTACCACTAAATGAGGAGGGGTCTAACATGACACTGATTCTTTCTTAGAGTAAACCCAGAACTAGCTGTGAATATATTTCCAGGCCCCAAGAGTGAGACAGGAAAACCACTGCTCTCTGGACTCAGGGTGTAGTCTTGGGAGGTGCTGGTGAGTAGAGAAAGTATACTCTGAATACAATTGTAAAAACACAAGTGGTCTGAGTTCAGTGCTTGTTTCTTTATTGGATTGATCACAGTATGGCAGGTCAGCCACTGTCCAGGCACCTGAAAATACAGAGTGACTAGAAATGGTAGAGACTGCTGTTTCACTGGGACAAAACTCTTCTTGGAAATTCCTCTTATGGGGACAACCAGGTGGCTTAACAGGAAACGAAGTTACAATTTCATCCTTGTGCAGTAGAATCCCTCAGAAGAAGTTACAGGGTGAAGAGAGTCCACTGAAAAAAATCAAACGACCTCTAGATTTCAAATTGAGTGATGTTAAGTTGTATTACCTAAGTACTGATTCAGCTACATCTTCAGTATTTAATGGGTCACTCCCAAATCACTAAGTATCTCTCCCTTTTTGTTGCTGGGTTTTTGTATAGTTAACCCATATCCTGATTCCCATTAGTTCATTTTTATTTATCATTGAGTAGAATTGTTCAGGTTTCTTGTCCAAGTTAATGATTAGATTATGGTCAAATTATTCTACCAGACTATGTGAACAAAAATGAATGAAAAGTTTAATTTTTAAAATTATACTTTTGGGCTAAATCCACAGCTTGGGAGTAATAGGGGAAGAGTACGGATGGCAGAGAGGGGTCAATCCACGACTGGCAGTTGGGTTGGCGGTGGAGTCGGAAGTGGTTGAGCTTAGGGGAGGAGATCCGCTCATACGGTGAGAGAGAGGCTTGAGAGGAGAGGGTTGAGTCGCCATAACTGCTGCCGCCTCTGCAGTTGCAGATGTAGTGTTGGCACTTAACTGCTACCTAAGCATCGCCGAGGTTCCTGTCGCTACCCTTTGGCCTTCCGCTCTAGCTGCCTTACCCCTGCCAACGCAGCCTGCTCTGTCTTGCCTGCAAACCCTGCTCCTTCCCCGCCACACACCAGGTCCCCAAATCATGGATCCCGGCGGCGGCGGCGGCGGCGGCGGCGGCGGCTGCAGCAGCAGCGACTCTGCACCTGACTGCTGGGAGCAGGTTGATGTGGAAGTCCCAGGTTCGGGCCTTAGCGGGGGCAGATACATCTCCGCGGTGGCCAAGACCCAGCGTGAACGTCTTAGCTCATCTTTCAGCCGGAAGCTTAACGTCAACGCCAAACCTTTCGTGCCTAACGTCCACGCCGCGGAATTCGTGCCATCCTTCCTGAGGGGCCCGGCGCAACCCCTGGCCAGCACTACCAGCAACAGCGAAACCTGCACCAGTGCAGAAAACCCTGAAGGTAAAAGCCTGGGATGGGGGGCACCTGTGGAACCTTTCAAAGAGGAACAATTAGTATTGTGTGAAGGTTCTGGTTCAGCTGTTACCATGGAACTTTCAGAACCTGTTGTAGAAAATGGACAGATGGAAATTGCCCTAGAAGAATCATGGGAGCACAAGAGAGAAGTAAGTGAAGCAGAGGTTGGGGGTAGTTTCTTGGGAGATGCAGGGTCCCCAGAAGAAAGTGGCCAGGAAATGATGGAGGACAAAGAGGAAATAAGAAAACCTGTATCTGTGGGTGTACCCTCAGGTGCTACTAAAAAAGAACACGTAAATGTGGTATTCATTGGGCATGTAGATGCTGGCAAGTCAACCATTGGAGGACAAATTATGTTTTTGACTGGAATGGTTGATAAAAGGACACTTGAGAAATATGAAAGAGAAGCTAAAGAAAAAAACAGAGAGACATGGTACTTGTCCTGGGCCTTAGACACAAATCAGGAAGAACGAGACAAGGGTAAAACAGTAGAAGTGGGCCGTGCCTATTTTGAAACAGAAAAGAAACATTTCACAATTTTAGATGCCCCTGGCCACAAGAGTTTTGTCCCGAATATGATTGGTGGTGCTTCTCAAGCTGATTTGGCTGTACTGGTAATCTCTGCCAGGAAAGGAGAGTTTGAAACTGGGTTTGAAAAAGGTGGACAGACAAGAGAACATGCCATGCTGGCAAAAACAGCAGGTGTAAAACATTTAATAGTGCTTATTAATAAGATGGATGATCCCACAGTGAACTGGAGCAGTGATAGATATGAGGAATGCAAAGAAAAACTGGTACCTTTTTTGAAAAAAGTTGGCTTCAGTCCCAAAAAGGACATTCACTTTATGCCCTGCTCAGGACTGACTGGAGCAAATCTTAAAGAGCAATCAGACTTCTGCCCTTGGTACACTGGATTACCATTTATTCCATATTTGGATAATTTGCCAAACTTCAGCAGATCAGTTGATGGACCAATTAGGCTGCCAATTGTGGATAAGTACAAAGATATGGGGACTGTCGTCCTAGGAAAGCTGGAATCAGGATCCATTTTTAAAGGCCAACAGCTTGTGATGATGCCAAACAAGCACAATGTAGAAGTTCTTGGTATACTTTCTGATGATGCTGAAACTGATTCTGTAGTCCCAGGTGAAAACCTCAAAATCAGACTGAAGGGAATTGAAGAAGAGGAGATTCTTCCAGGATTCATACTTTGTGACCCTAATAGTCTTTGCCATTGTGGACGTACGTTTGATGTTCAGATAGTGATTATTGAACACAAGTCCATCATCTGCCCAGGTTATAATGCGGTGCTGCACATTCATACTTGTATCGAAGAAGTTGAGATAACAGCCTTAATCTCCTTGGTAGATAAAAAATCAGGAGAGAAAAGTAAGACACGGCCCCGCTTTGTGAAGCAAGATCAAGTGTGCATTGCCCGTTTAAGGACAGCAGGAACTATCTGCCTGGAGACATTTAAAGATTTTCCTCAGATGGGCCGTTTTACCTTAAGAGATGAGGGCAAGACCATTGCAATTGGAAAAGTTCTGAAACTTGTTCCAGAAAAGGACTAAGCAATTTTCTTGATGATCCTACACAATACTGTGAGAATTGACTGCAAATGTTTACCACTTTCTTTAATTTACTGCCCACTGACAGACTTTCCCCCATATTTTGCAAAGATAAATTTCACAGCAAAAATCCATGTTTTGTCAGCTTCTCATGTTGAGATCTCAGTTATGTCACTGCCGAATTTACACTCAAGTTTCTTCTTCCTACTCTATTTGGCTTACTTGGACAGAACCAACAATAGCTTTGTAAGTGGTGTGGATGTAATTGCCTATAATAATGAAAAATGAATATATATATGTGTATATATATATATTTAGTTTTTCATTTTTTCCCCTAAGGTATTTAGACAACCTTTGTTCCCTGCAGATCAATCAGAGTGTGTCGGTGTGTGCATACATGTTGCAAAAGACAACTAACATGTTAATAAAATATTCCAGTTGAAACTCTTAAGTATTTGAAATGTTTTTGGTAATTTTTTAAAAATTTGTGTGTAATACTATTTAATATAGGAGCTCTGGTAGCATAGTGCCTAAGGCACTTGACTGCTAACC